CACAGTATAGTTGCTAAACATGAAAATTTCATGGCTCCTGGCAAGCAGTGGATTTGCCTCTGTCTGCCCAACAACCAACCCAGAGCTGGGCACAGGAGGCAGCCGGAGCTGGTGTAATCCATCCTCGTGGAATCTAAGCTACAATGGAGATGCCTGACATTCTTATTCACTCAGGCCTCCAGCTGCAACCTGTTGACTCCTGTTTTACTCTGTTGATAAATGTTCATTTACCCCCTTCAGGACAGCAAGTAATCTCTTGGAATGTGGCAAAGATGTTTAGCCAATGAATGTTTTTAAACTCTACTGGCGCTCCACATTTAATGACAGGCACCATGAAGGATATAAAGAAATGTAAGACGTGCTCTCTCCCTTCAGGGAGTTTATAATTTAGTTAGCAGAACAGGATATTACAGGTTAAAAGCCAAGAGAATATCGAGAGAAGTAAGTCAAAGGACATCTCAAGGTAAGGCAGATGGAGCAGATATGTTAGGACACTGGAGAAGTGAGGGTCAGCATGGGTTAGGGTGTCCTGGGAGCCATCAGGGCATGGCAGGGATTGGAGCTGGTCTGTATCGGGTAGTTTTCAGCTGCAAAAATCAGAAAATCGAAACTAGCGTAAAAGGTAAGAATATCTGTTATCTCTTATAACAGCCTGAACCCAGCAATTCATGGAAGACCCATGTTGTTTCCACCTATTCTGCCATCCTCAGCATGTTGGCTTTTATCCTCAGGCTGGGTCCTCTTCTAGAACCCAGTTGGCTACCACAGCAAGCTCTACAACTTGGAGCAGCGCAAGGAAATTTTTCCCAAAAACTCTCCCAGCAGACTTGCACTCCTGTCTCAGTTGTCACATGCCTAGGGCCCAAACCAATCCCTGGCAGAAGGAAGGGAATTAGCAAGATTGGTTTAAACTAATCAAGATTCACCCCTAGGGCTGGTGCCGGGGAGGGGCCCTTCCCTGAGCACACAGGAAGGAGAAGAGTATACATCCAAATAAGTTGGGTTTCTTCCAGCAAGTAAGAAGGGACAAGCAAGAGAAGACCATACGAAGCGGTGCCCACCTTCTGCTTCCCAGGCCATCTGCTAACACTGCCATCTTCTCTGGGTCTATCTCCCCGTTGGCCACGACCCTATTACCCTTTCTTCTTGCTTCCCCCAGTTGCCCCAGAAGCTGGGGCACTGTGGGGTGGAAGCATGGGGGACACTAGACCAGCTTCTCAGGGAACAATCCCTGTCTTCCCTCAGTCTATGCCGCGGCCCCTTGGCTTCCTCCCCACCTCCCCTGCCCATCAGTGTGCAGGCAGGTTCCGCAGCCCAGCCTGGGCTACCGGAAGGCCTCGTCATTCTCTCTTTGCTTCTAGGCAGAGGGCCAGCGTTGGGCCTTCTGATCAAGGCCAGAGGGACAGTGGCAGGGCAGCAAGGCAGTTGGCCGGCAGTATTAGTAACTCCTGGGCTTTTCCAGTTTGCTTTTGTTGAAGAAGAGTTCCTGGAGAAATTCCCTAATACGCAGCCCGGCAGGCTCTCCTACTCCATGGAGCGTGGTGGAGAGAATTCTGCCAGGCACACTCTCGGCCCTCTGCCAGGAGCCTTCCACACACCTTGCCCCGCTACCAGAATACCCGATTACCCTGGCCTCCCTGCCCCCTCCACACCCACAGGAGGGAGAAGGAGCAGGGCAGGAGGAGAGGCACAGAAGGGGCCCAAGCATCCCTGTCTGACGAGGCCCCAATGCTTCCTTCCCACTGAGGACCACCCCCAGGCCTCGACTGGTCACTCTCCCTTTTGCTACCACCACCTTGGAGGGTGGGCGGATTCTCTGGAGGCATCTGCTCCCTGCGAACCCCACCTGCCCTGCGGGAAGCCATTTGGGAAAACCTCTTAAAGGTGGGGCCCCTGCCTCTTACCTGGAGGCCCAGGGCTGAGGGGCACCTCTGAGGTAATACCAGCCCTGGAACGCAGGACACAGGCCCCAGTGACAATACCTGCCCCTTAATACCAGCCCTTCCCTTCTGGAGCCTGCCCCAGCTTGGGATGGTAGGGGGTGAAGGCAGGCAGACCTGTTCCTCCCTTCCTGGCCCTGGGGCGAGAGATGCTGACAAGTGTGGGCAGGCGGAGACAGGCCCACACAGCCGTCAGAAAGGCCCGTGTGAAGCACCCTCTATACACACAGCACAAGGGGGGGCGGGAAGTGTGGGGAAGAATCTAAAGATCGAGAAAAAGTTGGCAGTAAAAAGGCATTTTTCCCGCACGCTGGAACCCTAGACTTTTTTTCTGAAACTTGTCATTCTTAAGGAAAGCTGGGGAAGCATGCGTCTATGAAAATGTGAGGACTTCGCTGTTAGAGGGCCTTTCCAAACCCATCCCCAGACGATTTGCTTAAAGCCATGCGGTGGGACATTTCCGTGTAAGCAGTCAATCCACCGGAACCTGACTCACCAAAATGGTACAGATGAGGCAAGTTGCTTTTGAGGCTTTAAGCATATCTCTATTTTCAAAAGCAAAATGGAGAGTAAAATGAAAGACTTTATTGTAAAAACACCATTTTGGCTGATCCACATGCTGCCACTTCCTGGGAGCCAAGAGTAAAAGGCAGAAATGCCCACAGTGACATCACCGCTGCTGCCTTGGACTCAATTACAGATACGTCACACTCGGGGCTTGACCTAGAACGGGCTGCATGGGCCGCAAAGGGAACAACGGGCCTGTGAGGAGGAAAGCAGGGTTGCAGTCCCGACTCTGCCTCTAATTTCCTCTGTGGCTTTGCTGAGTCACTTAATCTCTGGGGGCTGCAGTTTTCTCACCTGCAGAAGGCGGGGCAGGGCTGATGATTCTAGAATTCCTTTCAGCCATGATTCACCGTATTCCAAGTAAGGGTGACCAGAGCACAGAACCGCTTCATGCATTCACTCATTCAACAAAGTTTGCAAAGGCATCTACTATGTACAGGGCACCATGCTGGGTTTCCTGCCCTCGAGAACGCAGCCTGCTGGGATTAGCAGAGGTGACTCTGCTGGGATAAGGAAGGGCACAGGGCATACCACTGGCCCAAGAACACAGGCATCTGGCCAACTGCCTTCTACAACAGGCAGCCAAGCCTTTGCAGGATTTCTTCCATTGGCTGGCAGATCCCCCTTTTCTACAACCTGTGAGGAAAGGGATCTAGGTTGGCAGGTGTCCTCACCAAATCAAGAAGCCATGCAACATGATGGCAGAGGAATGAGTTTCAGTCTGTGCAGGCATCAGCTTTCAGAAGTCCCTGAAGACAAGACTAACAGAATTGACAATGATGGATTATCATGCTCAGGAATTTTAAAGGATGAGAAAATGTAGCCAAGACCCATGGTGACCCTTGGCTGGTTTTTGGCCTCCAGCACGCTAATCTTCTTCCCCACCTCATGTGGGTAATGGGAACATTTGACCAGGCTACCCTCCCCTCTGCCAGGCCAGAGGTGGACACGTGACCTGAGCCTCCAACCAGACTCCCCCTGCTCTTGGACCAGGTGCTGAGGTGCATCGGGTGGAGCGCGTGGTGGGAGCACCTTCCGTCCAGGTGGGGGAAGCATGGAGACTGTGGAGTTAGGTCTGATGTCTAGAGACCTCAGGGCTGCCCGGCTTCTGTCCTGGACTTGATTCTCCAGACTTATCAGTGCTGGGAGTTTGTTACCTGATGGCTGTCAAAAAATCCCTTTCCTGCTCAAGATGGCTGGTCATTAGAAAACCTAACTGAGTTTTTATGATTAATGCCACATGGTCCAATGCTGTGCAGCTCAATCAAAATGTCTGTGTGTGCAGCCTGAGACTGTTACATGGGAGGTGACTGGAGTCATGGTTTGGAAGATGGACCTGCTGCTGTTTGGTGTGTGGATAAGAATGAGTGACAAAACGAGCACAGCCATGAAGCTGAAAGCTGAGAACATTGATGTTTTCTGAGCTCTCAGGATGAGCAGTTCCTATGCCAGGAGCTTCGTTCATTTATTTCCCACAACCCTGTAGGCAGGTGAAATCATCCCCAATTTATGGATGAGGAAATTGAGGTCCAGGTGATTAAATAACACGCTAAACGTCACTCAGCTGATGAACGGTAAAGCTGGGACGTGAACTCAGGAGGAAAAACTCAGAACCCGGGCTTTTAACCAAACACCACGTTGTTTCCCTATGGAAGAAAATTCACGAAAGAGTTTTCAAAATTAACGCGAACAGCTTAGTGCCGCCTTGGGCTGGGGGGTGAGAAGCGTCAAGGGGAACGGTGGGTTTCCATCTTCAGCAGTAGTGGGCACTGGGGCGGGAACTGGCAGGTCAGGGTGGTGCCTACACTGGGGCAGCTGTGACTTGGGCTCTGGAGTGAGCATTTCCAGGTTGACGGTCAAAGCCATGGAGAGGATGGTGTTCCAGCGGGAGTGTGGGCAAGTGTAGGGGAGAGGAGCAGGGGCCGAGACTGGGCTTGGGCACTGGGAGAAGAAAAGGAGCCAGTGAGGGGACAGGTGGGTCCAGGGACCGGGCGGGCACTGTAGAAGGCTGAGCTCTGCCTGGCCCCTGGGGAGCTCAAGTTCTCACCTGCAAAGGCCCCTGTTTCTGATCAGGGTCTGGGAAACAAAGGGTCCCTGCCGACCCCGGAAGCCGGTGCCCACGCTGCCCGCCACCCCCTGCGTGCCGCTTTCTCACCCTTCACAGCAAAACCAGCCGAGACCCCTAAAGGCGAGCTCAGCCAGCTGTGGCCGGGCAGCCAGGTCCCAACACCGAATTCTGAATCCTACATCTCTGGGAGTGGGGAGCCTGGGAGGTCTGGCTTCCCAGGGGCTGAGGGAGGCTTGCACTGAGCTGGGCAGGCAGCCCTTCCCCCCACCTCCCCCTCAGTAAAGGCAGGCAGGAAAAAAACGTGTTTTTATAAATAGCTCCAGCCCCAGCTGATTTGTAAATTCAGTGGGCTTTTTGTGTCAATGACATCACCCTCCTCCCCATGGCAACCTCCGACGATATCAAAATTGCCAAGCAACGTTGAAGCAGCTCGGCGCCCCAAACGAGAGCGGGTTGATGCCTGAGGATTTAATGGAGAAATCCCAAAGTGAGCCAAGGTGTTCCGTGGAGGAGGCGTGCGTGGCTGGGGTGGAGGCCAGAGCCCGCCAGTGCCGCTTGCCAGGAGCCCTGGGCCAGCTGGGGCTCCTTGGCCATGCTCCCTTTGACAGCCTGCTGCCGGCAGCAGGGGGAAGGACATCGCTCCCTGCCTGATGTGCCAGGAGCCAGGAGCAGCCATCCAGGTGACTAAGCCGGCCCACGGGCACTGAGTCACCGCTGGCCTGGAGGTTTCTTCCTTCCCTTTTGCATCTGATTATTTTGGGAACTGGAAACTTGGAGCTGCACCTGAGTCCCGCCCCTTCTAGCTCTCCCCTCCCTACCTGGGGCTCCAAGGAAGATGGGACCTGCCACGAGTCTGCCGCCACCCGCTAAGGATATGGAAGACGCTGTGGGGGCCTGAGGGGCCGGGGAGAGATGTCAGCCGGCAAAGTGCAACAGCAGATATGGTGATGAGGCTGCCTGTCCTCTGGAGGTGTCGGGAGAAGGGGAGTCTGGTCCATGCTGACTGGCGTCCTCCGGGCTGGCTTTGAACTCACCTCCTAAGGGATATTTCTGTAAATGAGCAGCTCCTAGGGTCAGAGTGGCATTTGGAGAACGAGGCTGGATTGGCTTAGGCTGGCCTGGGCAGGTAGGTGGCTCTGCGCCGGGTGTGGCCCCATGTGTGTGTGAGAGGAGCAGGTGTGTGTGTGAGAGCAGACCGCAGGGGAGCTGGCAGAGACTGGGGATGAGGGATTTGGCAGCAGTTCATCCTGACTGATGCTGGGCCCGCCCAGGCCCCAAGATGGGTGCTGTGGAAAAGGACACCAGGTGCCTGGCCTGAGCAGGTGCAGAGCAGCTCCAGCTCATACAGACCCAGGCCCCACTGAGTCCACGGGACAGAGATACGGCAGGGTGCCAGGGTAGGGGGTGGTCCAAGGATGGAAGCCAACCCGCCGGGGGCACCGGACGGTGCTTGGGCTGCCTCCTCTTCTGACAGCCCTAATCACTAAGGCACTAAGGAAACAGCTTCCTACCAGGAATTCTGTCCCTCTCGGTGCAGCGCCCGTCAGCACCTTCGTGTGTCCTCCGCCGAGCTCTCACGGGTGCATCCCTGGGAAGGATGCTGCCCAGGGCTCTGCTCCCCCATACTCAGGACACAGCAGGGCCACTGATCAGGCTGGTGCTCAAGCCAGCGCCCCGGACCCCTGACCCCACAGGACGTGCTCTGGTGTGGGTCCCCCGCCTCCACACCAGTGAGTAAGCTGCTAGAGGGAGAAGGCTATGTGCCCACAGAGGCAAGACGACACCAACCAGGAGCCTTCGGGAGAGGCGGCTGGGCGAGAAAAGCACTGAGGTTTTCTTTTTCTGTTCCTTTTTTTTCTTTTTTGCCCGAAGGGAGTGCCGCTTCCTGGGCCAGAGGCAAGCACCGGCCTGCAGCAGGGAGCTCGGGGCCCAGAGGACGGCCAAGGTAAGGTCCCTGCTGCCACGGCGGCGCGGGCCTCCCTGGCGGGGTGGGGTGCCAAGGTGTCCAGGTTGCCCACCATCTGGGACAGGGCGGGCATCTGTGGGTTCCTGGGCTAAGGAGCCCCACACCCCGCCCGAACTGCCACTCCCTTCCCAGATGGATTTTGAAGCACCCCCGTCCAAGCTGGCCTCTGGCTCCCTGGCCAGAGAGAGAGATGTTTATTTCTGCTATTCCTGCCTTTAACTCCCCTTCCTGCTGGGCCGTGCCAGTGCCACCGGGACGCCCCTCCAGGAGGCCCCACCGCCTCTGGGACACTCCCCCCATGCGTGCATCCCACAGATATTTATGGAGCATCCGCTGGGTCCCGGGATCCAAGTCACGCCCCTGTGCTGAGCTTGACTTGGCACAGACTCTGACTCTGAAACTCAGCCTCAGGCCGGATTCAGGGGGCTGCCTGGCTGAGAGCACCGTGTTTCCTCACAGACCTCAGACTCCCCTGCAGTGTTAAGGACCTGGTTGGCTCGGGGGACGTCAGGCCCAGTGAGCTCGGGTTTCTAAAGCACTGGGGCCCCACCAAGAAGCAAGGCTCATACAGTGTAGTTTGCTCTTTCCCTGGCATCACACACCAAGGTCGGAGGGTCCTGCTTGGGGTCTTTCCCTGAGTGGTTTTGGTGGGAACCGGGTTCCTGAAGTGGAGGATGAGCTCTGGGCTGCATGGGCCCCGGTGCGCCTGGGACTCGGCCCCACAGAAGCTCATCTAGCTGAGAATAAGGCCTTTGGGCCAAGCAAGGGGTCCTCTCTGCAGCTCAGGAGTGACAAACCTGGGAGCCCTGGTGACCAGGGTGCCTAGTCAAGAGGGGTCGGCACCAGGAGCAAGCTTTCTGGGAGCCCCTGATTTGTGTGGAAAGCTCTGTGCACCTGAGAGTGGCCACGAGAGGAGAGTATGGTGGCCGCATGGACAGTTCGGTCCCGCAAGGACAGACATTCTTGGTGAGCAGAGCCCCCTGGGATGTACCAGGCACAGGGAAATGTGCAGGCAGGTCTGGGGCCTCCGGCCACGGCAAACCCACTCTGTGCATAATTCCCAACAATGACCAGGAATGCCCCCTGTCCTGGAAGAGCCCATGGGACCAGAGTCAGGATGAACCCAAGTGTCTCCCACTCAATTCATCCCCATACCTGGCTCCAGGAAGAGGAAAATGGGGGTATTTACTAGCCGTGGGGTTACCAGCTTTGGGCGTATTCCCAGCTCCTGGAGAAAGGCCACTCCAAGCCTGGCGGAGCCCCGTGTATGCAGAGCTGAGCAGCGACTGGTGCCCAGGTGGGGACAGAGTGGCAGAGGCTGGGGAGCACCGGACAAACAGCAGGCCAGCAGGGTGGCAGCTGGCCGGGCCAGGAGGGAGCGGAAGGCAGAGGCCAGGAGGAGAGGAAAAGCTCAGGGAGGGCTCAGGACGACGGCTTTCTTATACCTACCGCCTCGGTGGGAGGGCCGGGCTGGGAGGAGGGGGAGACCCTGAGAGACCTCATTCCTCACCGGAACAGCCCCAGAGGCGCCTCTGTGCACTGTGTCCTGGGTGCAGAAGGCAGGAAGGACTCATGGGAAGCTGATCTGTGGCTGGAAGTGGAGCCCTTCCTGTAGGATGCATTCCACACCTGAGTGGGAAGGAGACTCGGGCAGTAGGAAGGCTGCTAGCAAACCTCATTAGCAGGCCTTCTGCAGCCTGTCCCTAAAAGAAGTGGAGTAGCCAAAAGGTTGGAGTAGAGCATGGAAAATGGAAGCTTCGGAAGATCTCTCAACTTCCTGAAGCAGGGCTGACCCTCCTGCCCGGGGTGAACAGGCCAACTGGTCCTGGGAAGCTGCCCCTTCCAAGCTCAGCCCGAGGGCCCACTGGGGGCTAAGGTGAGAGGTGTGAGGTGTGGGATAAAGGGGGACTTGTCTTTTCTGGGCAGGGTGTGGGCTCTAGGCAGCACTAGGTGGTGGCCACTGGCACCTTGCTCTGGCTCACTCGCTTGCAGGCAGGGAAGAGCTATGGCCTGACTACGAAGTACCAAACACTGGTGGCAGGATGGGGGACGGGGTGGGGTGGAGTGCTGGAGCCCTTGCCCCGGGGGAACTTACAGGCTTCAACAGAGCAGTGGAAAGGAAAGCTGAACAGGACAGACTTTCATACCCTGGGGAGAATTAGCATGGAGGCAGGGACCATTCCCTTGCAACTGCAAGGGGCCACATCAGCCCCAGCAAAAGGACACTTACACTGGTCAGCATTTTCTATAAAACCTCACTCTGACCCACCAGGCAGTGCAGAGACTTTACAGGGGGACAGTGATGACCTTTTTTTTTTACACCTGTGGTTTCTCTGTGGTTAAACTTTCCCCCTCGAAGTGCTGCCTCAGTCAGCAAACACTGGCACCTTTCAGCCTGGCTCTGGTTTGCCTGAGTTTGCCAAGCACTTGGGCCCCGGGCCTCTGGCTAACGGGGTGAAGTCAGGGCTGTGTTCTCTTGCACACTCAGGCTGCCCAGGACCTGGTGGCGGCCTCTGCGTGCTCAGAGAAGCAGGCCCAGGAAGCTCAGGTCAGCTGGTTCGTTCGTTGTTCTGGTCTCTGACCCCCGTGCACCTGGAACCCAGCCCACTCACCCCAGGGCAAATAGCAACGAACCAGTCACCTTGCTCAAGGCCCCTGCTGCTTGCCTGTCCGCCCAGCTCCTGAGGCTCCTGAGTGCTGCAGCGGTGGCAGCGGGGTTAAAACCGGGAGGACTGGTTCTCTGGTTCAGTCCTGGCATGGAGCCTCCAGCCTCCATTTTCTTTCTTCCGGCTTCGAATGAGGCTCCATATGGAATTGTGCAAGAAGGCACAGAGAGTGCAGGGAGGCGGGAACCAACTGTGCACCAGAGCACAGTCTCGGGTCAGTGGGGAGGAGTGCAGAGGAGGAAAGGGACTGCCCCAGAAAGGAGCTAGCCGCCTTGGACTGCTGTAGTACATTCAAGCCAAAGGGAGGCCCAAAGGATGTTTAATGCAGCCTTCATAATTTCATAGAGGGAAACAGACCCAGAGAAGGAAAGTGGGGTCCTAAGATCACAGAACTAACTGGTGACAGAGTCAGCTTCAGGCCTGGGGGTCCTCGCCTCCCAGTCTAGGTTGCCTTTCCGTCAGCAGTATCAACAAACGCACCCCCAAGCAGGGACAGGTGAGAGCTGCCAGGTAACAAGGTGGCTTGAGAGAGGCGGCCTGGCCTAACACAGTAGGAGGACAGGTCCCCTTACTCCTCTGTGCCTCCTGCCCACCCCCAGCCCCTGCATCTCGATGGACCTGGAGCCCCAGCTCAGCCCACGCTTATTCACCAGCGCCCCCCAAGGAGAGGCCCGGCCCACTCCTGGGACCCGGCCACTCTCTGATAAACAGATCCAGCTAATTTGTAAATGGATAGACTCAATTTCTTGTCCCAGGAAGCATTTTACATTTTAAACAGAAGCCTGTTAATGTCTTAAGCCAAAGGAGGGGGTAATGATAATAGTATCTAGGGATGAAAGAGATTCTGGGGCAGACCCTGAGCGGGAGGAACACGGGAGACCTTTTACCTCAGGTGGTCTTTTCACCAGTTATATACCATGACCCCAGGCAGGAATTTAAACACCCACCATCAGAGGTCAGATCCCAGAAGCAGGTGGCCAGTTGTCTGTCATTTGTCTCCCTGACCCCAGGCACAAGCTGGACAAGAAGTCTTTTATATTCCACTGTAGTGGGGTTTGTTGGAAGATGGGGTGTCAGGGGTCAGGCAAGGTGGAGAAAGGTAGAGGTCTCGGACCCTGGGAAAGGGTGGAGCCAGACCCAGGGGCAAGAATGCAAGGCCAGGCAGTTAGCAAGCATATGCAGGGCTTCTGTAGAGGACAGGATGGTCAGACAGGAGGAGGGGCTGCCTCAGAAGGTCCATCATCCCAGCAAGAGCCACTGGGGAGGGCGGGGCAGTGCACACCAGGACCCTTTGCCTCAGGGTTCACATGAAGTTCCCACAGGCCCACCCCAGGGCAGTCAAGGTGTGGTCCAGAGATTAAAGAAGGAAAGACCCTGAGAAGGGATGGCAGTAGCTGCCTGCCCCACCCGCTACCCTAGGACCCTCTAAGCAGAGCCCAGCCCAGCCAAGCGGTAGTTAGGTCATGCCTTCTAACCCAGGGCAGACGCAGAAGGTGGAGTTCCACAAGCTCTGCAGCAAGTTCCCACGAGGCCACGTGGCCCAGAGCCTGTGAACTTCATGCATTTAGAGCTAAGGTGTTCCCCCCAGACGGTTGTGGATGGGGCTTGGGCAGCCAAAATCATGCTTCCTGAGACTCTTTCCTTCCCTGGACTCTGGCTGGGGCTCTTACCTGGTCTGGCACAAGCCTTCCACTCCCCCAACTCACCTGTCCTTCCTGAAAGTCAGGCCCTGGGCTCCAGGGCGTGGGTGCCAGTCGCAACCCTGCCCTGGCCTTAGACTGGGGGCAGCTGCTGGAGGCTCAGAGCAGAGAGGAAAGGACAATGAAGGGCATCCATTCAGGAAGCTTCCCAGCGGTCAGTTCTGCCAGCAGAAATGCCAGCCAGAGAGCTGAATTGCCAGCAACAGACAGTTGCATGGAACTCTGGAGCCCATTAAGAGCAGGGGCTGCGAAGCGATCATAGTGAGAAGATATTAAAGGAATTCATCATGTCTCTAAAATGAGTGTCCTTAGCACAGAGGTAGCTCCTTCTGTTGCCACCCTCCCCAGCGTAGCTCATGCCCCCATGCACCCGGGAAGGGGGCCGCAGCTTGCCCTGCCCCTGCTTTAGCTCCTTGAGGTGGGTGGACAGTGGCTTCTGCATCTGGGTGGCTCACCCAAGGTCACCAGGTCCCTTTGGGACTATCAGGCAAGTTCAGCCGCCAGTGTCAGTTTTCATTTAGGGGAGACAGGCCTATATATTCTCATTGGCACAGGAAGCCTAGTACATATATATACACTTGAGAAAAAGGCAGAAAGAGGCTGGAGGCTTCTGGGTGTGGTCATTTCCTTCTGCTGAAGTTCAGGGTGGCAGAGGGACACATCTGTCCAGCGGCCAGGCAGGAGAGTCCAGTGGACTTTTCCCGAACACCTAACTGGGCCCAGATGGTGCTGCCAGCTGGAGCTGGGGTTCTCTCTCCAGGATCTGGAGTGGATAGACCTGTTGCGTTGATTTAATAGCAAGTTCTCCTGGAAGAACCCTGGGATTCTGCCCCCATGGCACACTAAACCGGACTCCATTGCTCCCTGTGGCAGCTGTGTGCATGCATGGTGTAGGGGAGGGGAGTTTCCTCCTTGGTCCCTTCAGCAGCTGTGAGGGCCGAGGGCCAAGAACTCTCACCCTGTTTGGGGGTGCTGGTCCTTGGGGCCCCTGTACCCCAGTGCTCTAGACCTCATCATTCCACCACCTTCCCAAAGGAGAGGGGCACCCTCTCCCCCGTTATACACATCAAGAAACTAAGGCTGAGACACGCTGGAAGTCTAGAAAGGCAGAAGGGCTCCAGTCCTGCAGGAACCCATGGTCTCTGCAGCTAGATTCTACCTCCTTCCTGCCTAAGGACCTCAAGGGCTTAGCAACCTCAACTTTCTCAATTCACGCTCCCAGAATCTGAGAGGTTTGCACCTGCCTCCCAGCCCCAGCAGCAGAGAGATGGATGGTCCCATCAGGGTGAGGGGCACTGGCCCAGGCCACCCCAAGAGCAGGAAGGGACAGGAGTGGGACAGCCCAAAAGAGAGGGGGAGGAAGGGATCTTCTCCAAAGAGTGCCTCTCTCCTAGGGCTGGGGGCTCAGGGTGAGTGGGCAGCTACCCCCCTGGAGCCCAGGCCCCAAGGGGCTCCTCCAAGCAGGTAGCAAGCAGGTGTGCAGCCCCACTTCCCTAGCGGTGCCTGCATGTGGGCCTGATGGCGCCTGGCCCATTCTGGGTCTGTGAAGGACAGATGGCTTGATTCAGGGACTTCAGGCAGGGTGCTGGCTCATAACTCAGTGAGAGGGTGGTGGAAACTGAGGCCCCCCTCTGCCCCTCATACCCAGTGCCATGTGGGCGTCCTCATGCCCTCATCAGAAATGGAGGAGGGATATCCCCACCCCACCTCCCGACTTCTCTGTGTCACATGACATACCCGTCCTGGGTGGCAGGCAGAGTTGGCACAAAGAGGCAAATTACCAGCACCTCCCCCACCAGCTGCTCCCAGGGACCTGACCCCACACGGTCAAGTCATATCAGACAGTCCCTGGCACCAGGAACCTCTGAGCAGGACAGAGTTAAGAGAACGGACTGGGGACAGATACCCTTGGGTTGAAATTCCGGCTCCACCGCTCAAAAGCTATAAGACCCTGAGCTGATTCCTTAACCAGTCTGAGCCTCATCTGTTTCCTCATTTGTAAAATGAGAATAATAACAGTATCGTGCTTCTGTCCCAGGGTGGTTGCGAAGACTTGACTGATGACACGTGTAAATAGCTTAGCATGGGGCCTGGCCCACCTGAAGCATTCAGTAATCGGCAGGCATTATTATTACTATTATTAGAGAAGGGCAGTCATCCAGAGAAAGGACGCTGAGGAAGCTTTTCAAGTCACAGAGCAGAAAGGTGCCAGGAAAGGATAATGTGTTTGTGTTTCTAAACCACAAGTTGATCTGTATCTTTCCTCTTTGGCCCTAACCCGGGTTCTCAGCCCTGGCTGTAGGTACTCAGATGTTACAACAGGCCCCAAGAGCCACAGGCTGAGAGCCAGGCAGTGCCTGCCCTGCCCATGTGCCCTCCCTGACAGCCTCCCAGACCAGGCTGGTTGACCAATGCCCCAGAGCTGGCAGAGCTCCGAGCGCCATTGCCCACGGTGAAATGCCACTTCTCAGTGCCCCTGTCCAGCACTCCTGCCCAATTTGTGCAATGGCATTGTGTGGACAACGCCCTTGACCAGAAGGCCTATGCCAGCTGCCAAGGCTCTTCAAAGGAGGGTGTGCCTGGTCCCTCTCCCTGCGCTTGGCACGGCAACCTGGGAATAGGCCAGAAGGAGGCATGTGGATGCTGGAGGAGAAGCTGTCTCTAGACTGTCCCTGCCACTTCCTGAACTGTTCTGCCCCCTCCTCCTGGGCAGGGCCGAGTTGGGTGTGGATCAGAAGAAGATGGAGACGGGGGTGGGGGGAGAGTCACACACAGAAATTAATCACTCAGGACCCATTCTGCACATCCCAGCCATTCCAATATGCAGACGGTCATCCAACCCTCTGCAGCCGACCCGCCGTAGACCCACCTGGAAGGGCAGAAATGTGGGGTTGTGATGCACCCAAGAGGCCCCCTACTCTAGTCTGGTATCCACTATGGGAACCTTTTCTCTAGCATATCTGACTGACAGTTATCTGCTTCTTGAATACGTTCAGGGATGGGGGATTCATTACCTCCTCAGTCAGTCTTATTTGGGAGTCCTGTCTCTCTCAAGGCACCAAATGTCACTGCAGCTCTCAAAGGTGAGAGGGCCCCCAAGGTACCCTAGACTCTCTCCCTTTGGGGTAAGGAGGGGACTGGGTGTGTAGCCTTTTTGGGATACCCAAGCCTGAATTAAACCAAATTAAATACCAGTTCATTTCTGATAATATTCTAATGTTCACACTTTATTGTAGTGTAACAGTTCAAAAGTACTGCTTGGAGCCGTGGTTTTGGTATATAAGGTATTTGTATCGAAAGGAAATAATTCATGTGTGTCGGTAAAAAATAATTTAGGGTGTTGATTCTAGGTTCAATAAAGTAATGCATTTCATTCTAGCTTTGGTTCTTGGTTCATTTCAAATCCTCAGCAGCCAATTCCCATACCCACCCCCCAACCCAGCACAACCTCCTTCCCACAGCCAGCGCGTCTCCACCTGGCATCACCATGCCTTCCCCGGGATGCTGAGGACATCAGGGCTTTGGATGCAGCCAGACAGGGTGCAGGCCTGTTTGGGGTAGTGAATTCCCAGTGGCCACCTCAGCTCTGTTTGGTGGGAGCCTAGAGTAAACTGTGCATAAGCAATTGAGCCTATAATGCAAATTCTTTATCCATAACTTGCACTGATATGTCTAAAGAATCAGTGAATAAAAACAATACATGGCAATAGTGACCTCAGTACCTAAAGTTTGAGGTGACCAACAATGACAGAAATTTCTCCACTTCCTCCTTCGGGGCAGCCATCTGAGGTCTAGATATACTGCATTTCCATGCCAGACTCCCCTCAGCTCTCGGGTGGACACAGCCCTCCCTGGGGACCTGGAAGTCTTCCCACTTCCGTGTTTGGGGAAGAGACAGATGGCCCCTGCCCTCCTCCACAACATATAAACACAGGAGAAACCACCCTCCAATCCAGAAGCAGGGCAAAGGGCAGCCCAGAGTGTGCCACTTGGGACAGCCATCCTAATCCGAGGCCCGGACACTGCTGGGGACAGCTAGGAGATGCTGACTCTGGAACCGTGCCTTATCCTCTGTTTGGGGGTGCAGGGCTCCTGGAAGCTTTCTTTTCCTAGAGGTCCCTTACAGTCCTGAGGCCCGAGGGCTCTCAGTACTGATCAGGGTCTGACAAGGGCACTGGAATCTCTTTAAATCCCACTTTTCTGCCTGCACAAGGGGGCTAACCCAAGACAGCCATAGGGCCTTGTCGCGCGATGGGACAGGACAGGCCAAGGTGGTAGGTTTCAGGATTCCAGCCGGGCTCTCCAGGGTGGGCGGGTGGGACGCGCCGCCCGAGTGTGCGTCGGCAGTGCAAATTAAGGAGCTAATTACACAGAGGCGCTCGGCGGACAGTCCAGGTCAGGCCTCTAGGCCGTAGCCCAGGGTCCGAGGGGCCACGTGTACGTCACAGCGGGCGGCCGGGGCCAGCACCGGAAGGCAAAGGGCCGGCGGGAGCCGGAGCCGAGCGGGTAGGGGGAAAGGGTTGAGAAAGGGGGTGCCCCTCGGGCAGGGAGGCTCCTGGCCGCGGCCCCTGCGCCCCTCGGCGGCTTTTCCCGGGCTCTGCGTTCGCGGCGTCCTACCTGAGGCCACACCCCGAAATCAAACTCGCGGCAGGTGAAGCCGGCGCTGCACAAACATGTAAGCGCGGCCTCCCCCCGTCGTTCCCGGCGCCTCCCGGCGGAGGGCGGGCCGGGCTCCCGCGGCCTCTCCCAGAGCTCCGGGCGCTTCCCGCTCGGCAGGTGGGTGCCCCGACCACCGGGGTGCTGCAAGCCCTGCCCGGGTAGGGGCCGGGGCGGGGAACAGGCCTCCCCGCACGCGCGGCTCCCGGTTCTCGGGTGTTAATTCCCCGAAGTGCGGGGCCGCCGGCGCGGGCCGAGGGGAGTCGGCGGCACCGGCAGCGGACCTCGCTCCGCGTGGACGCCCGGCCCTCGCGCCCAGGCTGGCGGGGGGGGCTTCGTCCCAGAGGGCGCCTCACTCGGGCGGCCGAGGCGGGGCCGGTGGCCGCGCTGGGTCGGAGCTAGGAGAGCAGAGTGGCCGGAAGCGCTGAGCCCGCTGTCCCCTCGTCCCCGTGCGCCCTGCGGGGAGCCCGCCGCCTCCTCTGCTCGCTCGCACCTGAGAAGGTGGCTCAGCCGGAGGCGGGCGGCCGGGGGTGGGGGGCGGGGGGGCGGGTTCCCAATGCTCTGGATTCCGGCCAGTCACGACATCCGCGGGGACACTTACTACATCGGCCACAATGAATTTCTGACCTGTTTCCACCCAGGCCTCGGAGGACCGGCCCGCGAAGGTCCCCAGTTCCCTCTGCTCGGTGCCTGAGAGCTCTGCCCACTGAAGAGTGAGGAGTCCGGAGAAAGAGGAGGCAGGGAAGGCGGCCCGGAGGTGAGTAGCCCTGGGAGGGTGTCCAGGGGCCTCTTGGGACCTCCGTGAAGGACAGGCCGGGACAGTGGGCGGGCAGGTGGCCCTCCTGGGCTGCCCCGTTCTCGGTACTGTTAGGCAGTGGTCCCTACTAGGTGCCATTTCTCAGTCCTTAGTGGATGTGCCTTGTTACTTCACCCGCCTCGGCCCACTGGAGGCGCGCACGGCTTCAAATGCCCCGCCCTGGCTCCTGGCCCAGCCTCTGCCTGTCCTCCCGTCCGCTGCCGGTCAGGGGCGAGGCAGTGTCACCAAGGCCAGTGCACTAAATTCTTGTTTGGGAAAGAGGCTCCCAAACAGGAAGGGCAGAAGCAGGCCCAGCGTCCGTGCTGAGCAGACCAGGAGGCAGCCCCAGCCAGAGGTGCTGCTGGGCAGATCCCAGCCTGCCGTCAGCTCATTCCCCAGCTGCCCAACCTGCTAAAATCTCTCCAGCTTTGCCCACACCCAGTGAGTGGCATCCACGCTGGGAGGGAGATGCTGCTGGGAGCACCAAGGGCTAAGACATGAGGAGTTCCCAGGGTGTAGTCTGTGTTTTCTGTATCTTGCCCCATTCTGGTGCGAGCTCTCCTCAGGCCATATATAGGACAGGGGTAGAGAACACATTTGGAACCAGAGAGAGCTGGGTTCGAATTCTGACATTTTGCCTTTGATTCCTTAAGCAAGTTTCTTTACTTCTCTCCCAACTTTAATGTCCTTATCTATAACATGGGGGTGATCATGCCTTCCTCATAGGGCAGTTGTTGAGAAGTCACAATGATAACTGATAAAGGAGAACAGCCCCAGCAGGAGGCTATCTGCCTAGCCTCCAGTTTTGGGAAAGGTTAAGCTCCCCAAGCCCTCCTCTCTGGGAGAACTTTGAGAATGGTCTGGCTGTGTGGCAAGAGATTGTGGAAGACATTAGAGCAAAGCAATGGGAATAAAGTAACGGCAGAGGGTCTGTGCAGGGTGGGTAGTAAGGTGGCCCCAGAGAAGGGGCCATTTCTGGAAGGGAATCCCACTTTGGAAGCAGAAACAGCAGCGTGCTCTGTACACATCACACGGCTTCATCTGTCCCTAGGTGACCCTGGACACACTGTTAACACCTGTGCAGCCTGGGGCAGAGAGAGAGAGAGAGAGAGAGAGAGAGAGAGAGAGAGAGAGAGAGACTCTGGCTTGAGGCTTCCGGTCCTATCTCTGCCCAGAGTAGTTGTGTGATCTGGGGCAGGTCATTTGACTTCTCTGGGTGCACTAGGCATGGTGCAAGAGCTTGGAGCTTGGATTTGATTCCCAGCTACACACTCACCATATCAGACAATTACTTCTCTCTCAGCCTCAGTTTCTTCACCTGTAAAATTAAGCTCATAAAACCTACCTCGTAGAGTCGTGACCATTAAATGCAGTAATGAAAAGCGCCTAGTACAGTGTCTGACACATGCGAGGCACTTTATACACGTGTATGTGTAGCTTCCCTTTCTCAGCTCCTCCTTCCTCTCCCCAGTCACTTGCCATTCTTAAAACGCACCCAGTAAAACAGGTTTGGCCCATGTCACTGCAGTATTGTGAACTTGGAGTGAGGAGGGGAACAATATAGTGATACAGAAGGTTAAGGGCTGTGAAAACATAATCTTTTTGTGACTAGGGGACTTAATCCTGTGACTTGGGGACTCTGGAGATTCTTTCTGGCTAGGCACTGAGGGCTCTGTGATGAGGTCTCGAGCCTCTATATGTGGAAGCTGTTGAAAATCTGGGGTAGGCTTCCCTGGTGGCGCAGTGGTTGGGAGTCCACCTGCCGATGCAGGGTACGCGGGTTCGTGCCCCGGTCCGGGAAGATCCCACATGCCGCGGAGCGGCTAGGCCCGTGAGCCATGGCCGCTGAGCCTGCGCGTCCGGAGCCTGTGCTCCGCAATGGGAGAGGCCGCAACAGTGAGAGGCCCGCGTACTGCCAAAAAAAAGAAAAAAAAAAAGAAAATCTGGGGTAGTGAAGAGGTGGCTGGCCTGCAGCTCTCCCAGTCTTCACTCCTCCCTTGGAGATTATGCCATGCCCAGGAAACCCCAGTGCTGCGGACTGGGGAAGCGGTTAGGATTCCAAGTACAGTGAACAGAGGTCAGAGGGCTGCTCTGGCTTGAGCCGCTGCCGGGCGGCGGCAGCACAGCACTTGCAGGCTGGAGCTGGGCCCAAAAGGCAGGCCTGAGTCAACATTGACCTTCCCTGGCTGGCCAGCCTAGCTCTTCGGCCTCTCATTCAGCTGGAGTGTTGACACAAGTGATTGAATGAGACTTATTATCATATTCTTTTCAACAACAGCCCCATTATCTTTCCCCTGGGGATTCACTGGGACCTGTAGTGTGGGAATGACAACAAGGGTGGGGAGCCCGGACATTTTGGCGTGTTCTGTGCACAGTGCCCCCTGCCCTGCACACTCAGCTTCTCTCTGGGCCACTCGAGTGCGTCCGAAGAACCTCGGGGTACTGCTCTACATCCCGGGGATGCTCCACACTTCCACACAGCGGCCCTGGGAAGGTCTTAAATAGTGCCTGTGGGCAGTGGCAGTAAGGGCCACAGCCTGGGTCTAGGCCCCATCCACCCTACAGGGGACAGCTGGGCAGAAGAGCAAATGAAATTCTCTTCAGGCCCTTCCCCTGGTATATTTCTAGGGGACAGGAAGAGTGCTGGGGTGCCACCTCTCATGTCACGTGAAGAGGGCAGATGGTAGGCCTGGACCCCTGGTGGAAGCTGAGGGAGGACAGAGCTCAGCCCCACACGAAGGATGAGCTGTGAGGGGACAGAGAGACAGAGGGCAGGGGCCTCCGAAAGGGGGAGGAGCCCCCCATCACTGAATTCATTGGAGCAAGGCGAGCAGGGCGTGGACCAGCTCCTGTCGGGAATGCCACCGAGGGATTGAAAATTGGGCAGGGGCGAAGGGGAGGCCATACCCCATCAGTAAGTCCCACAGGTGGGTGGCGCAGGTCAGGATGGGGTCTGGCAACATCTATTTGGAAAAGCCAGCTAAACTGCACGAGAGCAAGGATTTTGTTTTGTTCACCATGGTCCCCAGAGCCTGGAGCAGAGCAGATGCACAACAAATGAATTTAACAAATAAGTGAATGAATAATATAATTTCATATTTAAACTAACTCCAGAAACTAAAATTTGAGAAAGATCTTCCTGGCTGATGAGAATATTCCAATGAAAGACTGGCTTCTGTCCAGGATATTCTCAACCAGGGGCCTTCGAGGCACATTCCTCTTCACGGAAGGGTGTGGGATGTCAGTTCCCAAAGGGCGTTATGAAGAGGTTGGGCAGCAGACCTCGGGGTGAAAGGGCCCAGCTCTGGAGGTGGCAGGGTCCTCCATCAGCCCCTCTGTGACTGGATGGTGGCAGTAGTGGGGGTACCTTTGTAAGTGCTCTAGGACTCAGGGGCTTACCTCTATCTCGATGTCACAGAGCATCTTGCGTGGGTCTGAGAATGACAGGCTGGGGTGGTGGAAGGTGACAGCTAACTGCAGCCTTGTTCATATCTGGATCAGACTAACAGGGGTCTTCCCCTTCTTTGCTGCTGCGCTTGGGCAAATCACTTAATCTCTCTGAACAAGGGTTTTCTCATCTGCATAATGGGTACAGTAATAGGCCCACCTCACCGGCTTGCAGCGAGGATTCTGTGTGTGAAATGCTCAGCCCAGAGCCTGGTGCTTATACTAGGCACTCCCTGAGTGACAATTACTAAAAATACCCAAAACAGCCCCTCCAACTAGGACAGATGCTGTTTCTTTCCTCACTGTACCTGGAGAAGCTGGCAGAAGTGAATAAGTCCATGCCCCTGTTGGCCCCGGAAATGCTGAGGCTTAGAAAGGAAGAGTGGGCCAGGATCACAAGCGGAACTCAGGAACGCCTCGCCCCAGGTCCACACTGAGCCCGCACTCAGCCCTGACAAGCCGACGGTGCCTCCCTCAAGGGGGGCCTAGGCATGCACCCCACTCTCACTCTCTGGCCCTCAGAGGGAACAGGGCCCCAGGTGCAGCTGCCTTCTCTCTTCCCACTCGTCTAGGAATGGAGGGGAATCCCACCAGCCTCATCCTAACAGACAGTTTACATCCCAGAACTCACACAGCCAACCAAATCCTCCTCCCCTCAGAGTGGCTGCAAGCTCCTTCAGACTTGCTTTCTGGAAACCGCCTTCCCAGCCTGTAGTGCGTTCTTGTGAATCCCTTCAGTGGGCTGAGTGTCCTCTCCTTGAAAGGAATTCGCTGTGTGGGAACAGCCAAAACTCACTGGAAGCCGGGTCTAGGCGGCAAGGCAACCTCGTTGGACACCAGCTCTTCTGGTGAAAAGCAGAGGCCACAGGTTAGGAAAACACTTGATGCTGGCCCAAGATGGGCCCCAAAGTTGATTCCCAGGAGGACTTCTGAAAGTCCTGGAGCACATCTATAACAGGCGGTTTCACTTCCAAGGGTCTGCCTCAAATGGCAGTGCTCACTGGAAAGTCTGTGCTCTGGTTTGAGGTTTAAGTGCAGATTCATTTCTCCATAGTTCTGGTTGGGGAACCAACAGCTTGGTGGCCCTGGAGCCCCAGGTCCTGGCGGACGGATGTCTCCTCCCCAAGAGGAAAAGCAGTTTGAGGGGGTGACCCACCCAGCACAGCTATCTGCTGTCCCTGTTATAGACCCTGGACCAGCTGAGCCACAGTGCCTGGTCTGGGGGCCCTCACCACCCAGACCCCATGGCACCGTGGGACACTAGTACAGGCCTGCCGGTTGCCTGACTTGAGGCTGAGACCCTACTGAGGGGACGTGGACCTATGCTGGAGAAAATACCCTCCTGCTGTTTCTGTGGCTCTTTCCATGTGTGCCAGGCCCTGACATCACAGCTGCCAAGGCAAGCTCCTTAGAACACCCCACCACCACCACTGCAGGGCAAAAAAAAACAGACAAACAAGCCCTGGTTCCAAACAAAGTAAGGGTCAGACTGCAAGTCAAGACAGCGCCAGTCT